GGTGCCTCGTACTGCCTTGAGGCATTACGCTCTGATGCGTACGCCTCGTGCGAAAAAATCGTAAGCTTTGCTGGATGGTTCGAGGCATAAGCCCCGATACGCATGACTTCCGCCTCGACTTGAGGCCCGACTCAATGCGGATGCCTCGTCCGCTTTTTTAATGGTTGGAGTCCATAAGGAAATGATATTTTTACCCTTGGAGGTAATATATCATCATTTTTATGACGCACTCGATCATAAAGCATGCAATCCGTTTGAGGAAACGAAAATTTTCCAACATTTCCTTTCTTAAACAATATAAGGGATAGCATTTACAACAAGAGGGAAAGTTTGGAAATCAATGTTTAAAGCATAGAAAGTTATGAGAAAGTTTCATTGGATTTGGATATCTAAGGCCATGCTAGCATTGTAATTGCATAGCCAGGGCCATGCTAGCAAGTGTAATTGCTTAGCAAAAATTATCTTGCTGAAGGAATCACTCTACTATAGACATGAAATTCTTCCCAAGAACTTTTGATCTCTTCGTTATATCATTGATTCTTTTTGGCTTCGGCAGTTCACTAAGCTAGCTCGTACGCCTTCTCAACAAGTCATTTGACATCCTAATCTCGCACCCTCGTTTTAGAAGGTGATTCACTCATGTAAATTAAGCAAGACGGGAGGGAATAAATAGTGTAGTATTTAGCAGCTGTGGAAGCCACCTCCCCTTTCTTGTTGATTTTTTGTATAACACATGTTGCAATGTTTTTTTACTGTAGTCGTTGGTCCTCTTCCAATTAATCATTTGGGACTATCAATAGGTCAGGGTAAAATTTCCTCCACTCATCATCTAGTATCAAAGGTTCTAAATGCTATAGATTTTTTACATTCACAATAGAGTAGATATCTATGTAGGTGGGCAATGCTAAATGGTATGCATTTTTTCTAAAATTTTTTAGAATCTTGAATGGTCATGTCTAATTGGTTTGATTTTTTGCCAATCCCCTAATTTTCTATTTAGATATGAATTTATTGAGATTTTCTCTTCAAATTTCTTCTCTATATGTCCATGATCATGTCAAAATTTATATGTTTGCTATGACGTGGTTAGTTATTTCTACTCTTTGAATGGGTTCTTTGGATTTTCTCTAGAAACCTCTAAGCCTTTTTGAGTTTTTCATCGTAGAAATCTTTGATCCTTTTTGAGTACATCCCTACTCCTGGAGTTGTTGTTAGCTTAACTGAGAATTGTAAGTCAAAAGGATTTTAAGACAAGTATCCCGGGCACGTCTGAAATGGAGTTTTATTCATAAAATTATGCATTGCTCTATTATAAGTAAATTGGATGTAAGATGGGCTTTCATTCTCATGTTTTTGGGTGTCAAGAGTTAAGATCTCATAGTAGGTATAAATTAGTTCTATTGAGGACCATATTATGTTTATCAATTTGTTGATAAAAAAATTTGCTCTTCAATGTAGCATCGATCATGGACCACTATAATTTTTAAAAATTATTAATGGAGCGATACTCTATTTGAAATGTTTGAGCTTTAAAGTTTAAAGTATATCTATACAGTTTTGAAAAGAGATAAAGATATTTCTATCACACCAAGCCATTTTATTTTCGAGAGCTTTTCCACCGTTATAAAAACATTGTTGTAATTGCTATGAGTTTTTGGTATCATTCCTAGGAAGTTTATAAAAATTCTCTTCCATGTCTGTGTTGACGTTGACAGTGGAGTGTATAACTCTTATTAAAAGAATTACTAGAAATTTTGCCACAGCAAGATGCATTTTTGGCCAATATACGTGTGCCACTCTAAGTTGAGAAGCATATTCACCATTCCTAAATGTCTGTCCAACTTGTAAGTTTGCTACTCCCTTATGTACTCACTTAATCCCCATCTTTATTTGGTAAAGAAGTTTGTTTTGATGGTTTATCTATCTTCATAACCATCTTCTATAAAATCTTGAAACTCTGTGATGTGATGCATGAGTTGAGTTACACAAGATAAAAGGAAATTGAATAATAGCTTAACCGTTTATATAATCATGCTTCAAATTAAAATCGGCTACGAGAATTCGACGTGTTCCACTTGCTTAGGCAAAGGAATTACAAGGAAAATTATCCAAACAATTTAAGCCAATACAAAGGGAAATGTAAAGTTAAAAGCTAGTGATTTGAATCCAATGATTAATAAGGAGTTGTTCACCTTGAGGCCTCTTCTCTCTTTCCTACGAAACTAGGTTGAGCGGCGGAAGATCGTCCAAGCTAGAAGTGAGGTTGCCACGAGGAGGGAGGAGCCAATGAACGTCGCCGTGGAGAAGGAACTCGGAGGTGGAGGTGGCACGGTGGGATGACCTTCGATGATCCACGTGTAGTCGGAGAATTGGTCGTCGATGGAGTCCACTAGTGTCGGTAAAATCCGATCCAAGTACTCTTCGACTGTATTGTCGAAGCCAAATCCAACGTCGAAGAAAGGAGATCTTAAGACGTGGATACCTCCGTAGATATCGTAGAAGAGTCCGTGATCAACGGCGGGGTCCGCCATACACCATGGATTAGAAGACGAGCAATCACCACAAGCAACCCAAGGGGGGAAGAGGCGGCTTGGAGAGGAGAAGGGGAGGCCGGCGGTAGAGAGGGGAGAGGGATGAGGTTTGATTTAGAAAACTGAAATTGATTTCAGTTTTAGGGATTTTGGAGGGAGTTTGTTTGAAACATGATTTCCCAAATAAAAGACAATTAAAGCATTAATGAAAATTTAATGGGATGGAGCCAAAGGGGGAGCCGGCGGTAGAGAGAGAAGGGGGGAGGGGAAATTTAAAACTGAAATTAGTTTCAGTTTTAGACAATTGGAGGGAAATTTATTAGAGCTTAATTTGGATTTCAAATAAAATAAAGGGAGTTAATTGCATAATTAATGAGGATTCCACCTAGGGGGGCCGGCGGCATAGCTAGAGAGAGAGGGAGTTAGGGAGAGGGGAGGGGTTTCCAATAATAAATGATGACTAGGAAAATATTAAATTAAATCCAAACAAATTTAATTTTAAATTTGGATTCAATCAAAAACTTTCCATAAATAGAATTTCCAAATTTGGAAAGTAATTGAAATTTGAAATTTGAATTTCAATGAGAAGTTGGGGAGGGCGATGTGGGGAGTTGGTGGAGAGGAGAGAAGACCGGCGACAAGGTGGCCGGCCGGGGGGTAGCTCTACGGGCGGTGGCAACATGGGCTCGAGCTTCTTTGCTTCCTCTTCTTTACTTGGGATCTTCTCTCGCGGAGAGGCAAGATACTAAGGGTTGCAAGCCTTGGATTATTTCTCCAAGTGAACTCACAAAGAGATCACAAAGAACTCACTAAGAGATCTCAAAGATATTGAACTCACAAAGAGAACAAAGCATAAAAATTTCATTCAATAATTTATTAGCCTCATACAAGATACATGAGCCATATAAATAGGCTCTAAATGACAACAAGTGCAAAGTCTAAAATGCCCCTTGGGCTACAAGAGAACAAATACCCACAAGGGTAAAATGGGAAAAATTGAAATAAATAAGTAATAATAAAAAATGCAGATACAAATAGTCATCAGTAGTACAAGCTCTCCATCATGGCCGCCGATCTCCGGTGTCGTCTCTGATAAACGCGCCGAAATCTCCTGTCTATGCTCCCATCACTCTGTCATTCTTGTAAAGGTCAATGTCTTCATCTTGATAAACGTTCAATAACATTATTGCTAAAAGTGGCACTATTGGCCCAATATTGAATGTCAACCATATTTTTATATACTCCTTTCTAGTATTTTAATTTAAATTGCTACAAACATAGCATCCACTTCATATGCTGAGTTCCTTGAGCTTCGACTCGGTCTATTGAAGTAATTTGTGCTCTATATGAATCTCTTTTTTTTTTTTTTTGGTTTTTGAGTAGATAAAGCCACCGAATATTCACAACTTGGTGAAGTGTAAGTAGTTCCTTATCATATATTAGATAATTTTTTTGAGCATTGTGTAGCACCTCAGGGTGGTACAATACATGTCTCCCTTTTTGTATTTCAGAATTGTGCTGAGTGCATAGTCTGAGCATCATCCTTCTCTTCTAACAGGCTATAATTGATGCCTTACATATGATCCATTTGAGAAGAAGAAACATTTTTTCATGTTATCTTCTAAGGGAACTTCTGATTGGCTTTTGTCAAAGAATGTAGAGATGCATTGAGTATACAGAATTTATGGATGAATCTCCTCATATTACTAACAAGCTCCCGTAAATCTCCTGACATTGGACACGTATTGTGGTCGAGGCCAATCTGGATATCTCTAATTGTTTTTTTTTTCTTTGGGTCTATTGTATCTCTAAACTGCAGCTGATTGCTGCGGTTGGTGCGCTAACCGATGCATTATGTCGAAACGGCGCCAGCCGACTGCGAGGGCAGCTGCACGGGCGGGAACACGGCGTGGGAAGCCGACAGCGCAGGCGTGCTGGCACGACGTAAGCTGGGAAACGAGTGCGAGCAGGCCGGGCAGCGTGCAACGGCGGCGGTGGCCGCCAAATCACATCCAAGCTCGATTTTTGGCTCGGACAGGATGATTCAGACATTTTTGGGGTCCTTGGGGGCCATTTTATTGTTCCAGACTCAATTTTATCACTTTAGAGCCAATTGGGAGCTCTACTGGCATGATTGGGTTGTTTTAAAATTCTGGACCGCATCAAGAATTCCCCATATGCTGAAACTCATATTTTCGTGTCTCATTTTAATTTTTTTAATTTTTTAAATAGGAGCCTAAATGATCACGAAAGGACTAATTTGATCCCAATATAAAGAGTAAATGGACCAAAATGATACTTTTATGTAGTTAGGGACAATTTTGGTCCTCCAGAAAAAGTTAAGGGACCAATTGGATCTTTTTTTCTATTAATTAATGTGCGCTTGACTTAATGATGCTTTCATTTTGCTGGGCCGACTGTTGCTCGGTGCTTTGTTGGTTATTAAATGATCATTATATCTTTCTGCAGGACGGTAAGATTGAAGCTGAAGTAAAATTAACTGGAATTCTTAGCTTGGGAGCATTGAAACCTGGTGAATCAAGAAAATATGGTACAACAATTGCTCCGGGTTTATATGCACCAGTTCATCAACATTTCTTTGTTGCTCGTATGAACATGGCAGTTGATTGTAAGCCCAACGAAGCTTTCAATCAGGTCTGTCTAAATGTATTTGTAGAGTTGAATGCTATGATGTATAAGTTATTCTTTTATAGAGGATTACTCTTCAAGATAATTTACTGTCTAGTGTATAACTCATCTATTGATTTCTTGGTAGGAAAAATTACAGAAAGAGCTATCATTTTGTTCGATGTACCCTAGTGACATCTGAACTATTTTTTCAATGGTATATCATTCAAAATTCAAAAGCATAATTACATTGTGGTTAACGTGTTGCTCATCTTTATCACCTTTAAATCCAGTGGCGTGGCAACACGAATCTTTGATGAGCAAGCCTTTTTTTACTAACACAAAAAAAAATCTAGTTGTCATATGTTTCATCTTTGTCAGAAGAATTGCAACATCTTCTCCCTGTTGTAATGAGCAAATCATGCCATTATCAGTAAGTCATTTGATAAATTGGTAAGTGCATTCTTTTTGATGGAGGTATCTGTCTTAGATGCCCTTGATGTATCGCTGGCTACTTGCGGACCAGGGTACCTATTGATCCCAGTATTTCACTCACAGTTTATATAGTTGAAGCTCAAGTACAATGTAAGGGACGAAAGTGATAAAACGACCAGAGAGCAAGTTTTCCTTAGGAATAGAGGACAACATGGCATTTGGGGCTGCAGTTCCATGTTTGCTTATGACATTCTAATTGAGTGCTTCAATTTAATATTTCATGAACTAATCTCTAGGAGAGTTTCGAGCTATTAGCTTATGGGATAAACTTCTTGTGAACATAACTTTGCTAAATTGATTATGAAATGAATTCTGGTTGGGTGAATTCTTTTCACTGTTTATGCATGTGAAATTTTAAAGACTTGAATATTTTTTTTGGTTTATGGTATATTTCTATTATATAGGTCGTTGAAGTAAATGTTAAGGTTGAAGAACCAGGCAACAATAATATCCACAATAATGCTTTCTATGCTGAAGAGACAATTCTTAAGACTGAAGAACAAGCAATGCGTGATTGTGATCATACATCAGCGCGGCACTGGATTGTAAGTACATAATTCCTTGGTGCTCATTTTTCATACAATCTTATTTTGAATCTACTTCAAATGTCTTTTATTTTTTTTATAAAATAAAATTTAGATTAGTTTAACATTTGCAACAATGAATCATTTGAAGTATAAATAATATCCGTGTTTGGAAATTACAAGATTTTTACCTGCTAACTTATTTTCCATGTCTCACTGACGCATAACTATTAATGGCTTAAATTCGTGTCTGCTGTTGATCAACATAAACTGTGGTACTATTAAACATATTGGCCTTTAGAAGTAATTAATGTCTGGATATAGTATCTGAACTTTTAGGAAACTTGGTTTGGTAAATTTCTGTTTTTCCAGTAGTTTTGAGCTGCATGGTAAGCTTCATTTGAGGTATGCTATGAACTTCTTTCTTTTGTTGAATTATAAAATTTCTTCATTTATAGGCTTCTAGCTTTTTTCTATTAACTTTTGATCCATGATTGCTTTTGATACCTCATCTTAAAATTTATTTGATCAAGCATGGACTTGATGCAATTTGAATGTCTCTTGCCCAGATAATCGAACTATAAACTTCCAAAATTGTCCCCCGGGCCATCTATTTTTTTTTCCAGAATACTTATAGTTAAAATTGTTAATAATGTATTAAAAAAAAAAAGACCATCTCATCACTTTTAATAATGAATATAGTAAAACTTAGATTGATTATTTTCTTATTAGAAAATTTTATTGTTTAGATTGCAAATATTATAAAATCATTTTGAGTGAAAATTTATGTACTTATCATCTCTTATTAGTATTGGACTTTAAAATGAATGATTAAAATATGAAAAATAAAGTAAAATATTATTTTAAGATTAGATTGAGATATTTAAAGAGCCTTAATAAAATTATTTTTGAGATTAAAATTCAAGATATTAAAAATTTGAGTTGCTTATGTGGAAGATAATGTTATATAGGAAAAAAGTTGCTAGTAATATTAAGAATATTCCAAATTATGTGCTTGTGTATCAAAGGGAAAAGTTCATAATAATAAAAAAAATTTGCAGGGGATTAAAAATGTGCAAGAAATGATAAAAAATAAGATGATTTGTTAGAAAAATTAGCTTACATCTAAAATTTTAGAAAATTGAAAAAGATATAGAGGGGCTTGTAGGGATTCTAAGAAAAAAATATGATGTAAAAAATTTAGCTTTTGTTGATTTATATAACAGATTAAATACTAAGGAGGATGAAAGATACATGTATAAATTAGCCAAATAATGAATAAGAAAAGTAAAATTTAGTTCAAGTGAAATGTATTAAGAATAAAGATAACAAAGTGCTTTTATTAGAAAAGGATATTCAATATGGGTAGTTGGGATGTTTTAATAAATTTTTTTAATTAAGATGGTGAGAATATGATTGATTTTACTGACCTTTGCACTTTAAATGAAAATAGAAATTTTTTATTTTTTTTATTGTATTAGTAAAACCGAAGTTTGGAGATGCTTTTATGAAAATGAAGTTTGAAAAAATAGTAGCACCTAATGACATTTGAATGAAAGTGTGTAAATACTTAGGAGATCAATGAACTTTTTGTCTTACTAAATTTTTAATATTATTATGAAAACTAAAAATGTGTTAGATGAGTGGAGAAGTGTGTTGGTTTCTATTTTTAGTAATAAATGCACAAGAGTGTGTGAATTATAACATCATTAAGTTAATATGTTATACATGAATGTTATGAGAGAGTAATTGATGATAGATTTCAACATGATACTAATATTTCTTAAAAACCAGTTTTGATTCATGACAAGTTGTTTACTACGGAAGTTGTACATTTGTTGAGAGATTTGATTGAGAATTATAGAGAGAGTAAGGAGGCTGTAATATTTATTGATTTAAAAAAAAAAAAACATATGATAAAGTTTCAAGAGAAGTGCTATTAAGAGTTATAGAAAAGAAAGTAGTTAATAATGCTTATATTTAAGTTATTAAGGATATGCATATAGGAGCTGTTTGTTGTGTTCAAACACAAGGTGGTTTGAACAAATATTTTCCTATTTCATTTGGTTTGAACAAATATTTTCCTATTTCATTTGGATTAGATCAAGGATTAGCTTATATCTTTTTGTTTTAGTGATCTATGTTTTTACTTGACATTTGCAAGAGGATGTACCTTGATTTATGCTTTTTGTTGATGATATTCTTCTTATTGATAAGATTAAAGAGGGGGTTTGTGAACCTTAGAGTCTAAAGATTTTCATTTGAGTAGATCTAAAACCAAATGCATAGTGTAAATTTAATAGTAATAGACCTAGTGGTGGGATTGTGACATTTGGTAATCAAGTCATTAAAAAGAGTGCATGTTTTAAATATATTTGATCTATTGTTCAAAGTGATGGTGAAATAGATAAGGACATTATTAGTAGAATTCATGTTGGATTGTTAAAGTGGAGGAATATATTGGCTTGTTGTGTGATAGAAAAGTACTCAAACTTATGGAAAAATTTATAAGATGGTACTGAGAGTTGCAATACTTTATAACACATAATATTGATCACTAAAGAAAATCATAAAATTAAGCATTGGATGCTGAGGTAGATGAGTGGCTTTATACTTAGAGACAGAATGCGAAATAAATATATACATGAAAAGTTTGGAGTAGCTCTAGTGGAAGATAATATTAGAGAGAGTCACCTTATTTCATTTGGTCACATAAAACCAAGGCTTTGAAAACCAGATTGGACAATGAACGGAATAAGGAGAGGTTATCATTGATGGTTCGATCAGGGTCGAACACGATGACATAATAAGTACTTACTATATTTAAATATTATAAAAATGACACAACTATTAATAAATATATATATCAACATTGAACATAATAATAATTTAAAGCATAAAAAAAAACATTTTATAAAGTAAATAAGAAAAATATAATAATATTTTTCACTTATTGATGACCAATCATAGAAAGATTTTAACACTTTATATCAAAAGATAATTAAAAAAAAAACATATTCATTATATAGAGATAAAGTTAACTATGTTTCACTTTCTCAGTTCAATAGTTTTAATAATTTCAGAAGAAAAAAATCAAAGATCTCATAAATTTGCATTATCAAATCTATCCATTAAGTTGAGTTTTCATGTTTCGCTTCAGCAAAGTGTTCAAACCCAAATGCATCTAATTGATCGAACTTAGATTATGTCGCCTACATCTCCTTTTCAAAGTCACCTTCACAAACCAATAAGAAATATAAAATAATACATTATTTTTTTACTTTCATTTAAATGGTATACTCATATTTATTATTAACTTACTTTGTCTTGGCCAATTGGATGGTATGTTTTGTTCTTCAACAACTAACATTCCATCATATTTGTATATCTCTTTTTCCAAGTCTTGTAAGTCAAGGTCTAGAGTTGTTTTATCTTTAAATATCCAAAAATCAACCATTTTAACACAAATGTTGTATAGAGGATTATAATTTTTTTTAAAAGTTGAAACCTAAAAAATGAAAAAATAAATTTAGTTTGAGATTATACACACTCTTTAAATTGACACTTGTACATAAATATTAATATATTTTAAGGTTATACCTTTTTTTTCAATTTAGATTATACCGAACATATACAAAATCGTTGAGCTGTTGATGCCCCAAATAATTTGGTTTCTTTAAGTGGATATGTTCAATAACAATCACATTTCTCTCGCATTATGATGAAGATTATGTTTGACTTATAATTCTTATAGCTACTTTCTTATAACTACTTCCTTATAATTCTTATATTATACAAATTTGACTAGGTCAACTCTTTGACCTAGGTCTGGAGAAAAACAGGGTCAACAAACGGACCCCAACTGGAGTGGAGAACAAACTAGTGAACCGCTCGTGTTGGCGTTGACCGAATGTGACAAGTAAAGTGTAGTTAAGTGCAACCAGTAAAGGAGTCACCAAAAGGTGAAAAAGTAGGGCGGGTTTCTCTCCTTGCCTTACCCTGTAGTGAGGGCAGAACCGAAAAGAGAACCAATAGTAAAGTAGTTAAGTAAACCGACTACCTGCCTGACCATATCGAAACAACAGAATAGAAGGTGAAGGGGTCCCATCTCCTTCTGATCCTTTTGGAATAGTGGATTGGGGTGATTCAATATTTGGCTGACCATATCAAAATAATAAATAAATGAGTCACGAAATCTGATGCCTGCCTGATCACAACATGACACTCAGGGTAAAAGGTGGTGAGGAATGCCTTCTAAGTGCTCTGTCTGGCTCTCTCAACTAGGTAAGTAAAATCAACTATCTGTCTGACCATATCGAAATAGCATGATAGAAGGTGAAAAGGTCCCGTCTCCTCCTGATCCTTTCGGAATAGTGGATTGGGGTTACTAAATACTTCTGCATGACCTCAGCAAAAGTAAATAAGCTACGAAATTGGAAGCCTGCCTAGTTTTTAACATGACATCCAGAGTAGAGGGGTGGTGAGGAAGGCCGCATAGGGACTCTGTCCGGCTCTCTCAATCGGGTAAGTAAAACTAACTACTTGTCTGTTCATTTCAAACAACAATATAGAAGGTGAAAAGGATCCCGTCTCCTCTTGATCATTTCGGAACAGTGGATTGTGGTGACTCAATACTTCTGCCTGACCTCAACAAAAATAAATAAGCCACGAAATTGGAAGTCTGTCTAGTCTTTAACAGAACAACCATGATAGAGGGGTGGTGAGGAATGTGATACCCTCAATATGTTTAAAATAAGGTAAGCATCAATTTCCTTTAAATGTTAAGTTATTTTTTGTTAAATTGTACTCTTAATTTTAATTACTTTGACATATTGAAAGCATTTTAAAAAAAAAATTAGATTAGTAGTTAAAAAAATGACTAATATTAAATAAAGTAACTTAATTGTAGTACTTGAATGATTTACTGATAACTATTAAGTCACTTGTTTCATTATTTTATTCATTTTACTGTAGCCATCCACTTATATAGGCATGCATTGGTTTGACAGTAGACGGCTGAG